TGTCTCCCACCCAGTCAAAGCATAGGGTATCCCAAGGAACTCAGAATTGTTCCAAGTTTGCTGATCCCTAGAGCAGTTTAGTCCCTACAGTACCCTTCTCCAGATGTCTCCTGGTTATAGCACTCAAGAGTTTGCTGACTGATGTGATAATGTAATGTAAGCTAGCTTGTTGTGCTGGAGGAATCACTTTCAGACCAAATGTCCAAAATGGGTTTAAAGTTTGTAAGAACCATGGATCTCTCCTACAATTAGGACTGCTGTTATTATCCAGGTTGTTTGCATTCTCTAACTTACCTTGTGTTTGCAGTGTTGGGCTCTCTATCCCTAGCCAGGGAACCAGGGTTGAAATCTTTCCAGTTCTCCTAAACCTTGTTGTTTAAGTTTCCTGTCACTGTGTATTGGTTCTCAAAGTTGTTCTTTTCTTACTCTCCTCAGTATATGGTTTCTCCTTTGTTATCTTGACTCCTCTCACTCTCAGAGTCACATGGAGGGTACTTGTATTCCACCATCTTGTTTCTCTATTTCTTACTATTAAGATTGAAATGGAAGGTTGGGGAGATAGCTCAGTTGGTAGAGTGTTTGTCTTGCATACACAAGGCCCTGGGTTCAATCTCTAGCACCACCAAAACAAAATTTAAAAAAAAGATTGAAATGAATGCCAGGCACAGTGGCACATACTGTAATCCCAGAGACTTGGGAGGCTAAGGCAGGAGGATTGTGAGTTAAAGCCAGCCTCAGCAATTTAGCAAGGCCCTAAGCAATTTACAGAGACCCTGTCTCAGGATAAAATATAAAAAGGTCTGGGGATGTGGCTCAGTGGTTAAGTACCCCTGGGTTCAATCCCTGGTTAAAAAAAAAAAAAAAAAAAAGATTGAAGTGGACTCATCCAGAGAGAGATTTTAGGGAACCTAGAGAGAATCCTTGGACAGTCTTTCAATGAGTGTTTATTGAGCATCAGCTGCATGCGACATACAAGGAGCAAAATGGTGAAAAGGACAGTCTGTGCCCACAGAATTTTCATTCAGTGAGACAAGATGTATGCGCAAACCCAAAAGAGAAACACAGACAAAGCCATACACACCCAGCTAGTCCACACTCTAGTCCTCTGTGGAAGAAATGTCTCTGAGTCAGCTCAGACCTACTGACCTCCAAGATTCATATTCAAAAGCTGGTTCATGGTTCCCAGAACTGCCTGAACAGTATATCCCCTGCAGTCTGGGGATTGAACCAGGGCCTCCTGCATGCTTGATTAGCACTCTACCATTGAGCTATACCCTCAGCCCTTTTTATTTTCTTTGAGACAGGATCTCAATAAATTGGCCAGGTTGGCCTCAAACTTGCAATCTTCCTGCTTTAGCCCCGAGTCACTGGGATTAAGGTGTGGGATACCACACCTGGCTTAGATAAGTTGAGCTGATTTAAAAAATTCATATGAAAATGCAAAAGAACCTATAAAGCCAAAACAATCTTTTTTTTTTTTTTTTTTGAGACAGGGAGACAGAATCTTGCTGTTGCCCAGGCAATTCTCTTAACTCTTGGGCTCAAGAAATCCTCTCACTTTAGCCTCCCAAATAGAACAAAGTTGGAGGTCTTATATACCTTGAAATGCAAAACTCAGAATCATAAAACTTCTAGAAGAGAGGCAAATATTTTTGAACCTCAGGGTAAAGATTTCTTGGACAGAATATAAGAGGCACTAACAAAAGGAAAGAGGGGGAAAAAAAAACAGATTCATTGGACTTAGAGTTAATTCTGCTCACTAAGGCAATGGAAGGTAAGGATTAGATATCCCTCAGACAGGGAAAAGATTATTTTTTTATTTATATATATATATATATAAATAATAAATAACAGACAGCTACAAATCAACAATAAAAAGATGAACAGCCCCTTAAAAATGAACAAAAATGAAAACTTTTTAAACTAAGCCACATCCCCAGCCCTTTTTTATTTTTTATGAGACAGAGTTTTGAACTTGTGATCCTCCTGCCTTAGCCTCCCAAGTTGCTGACATTATGGCACCTGCAGGCACACCTGCTAAATTTTTAAATGTACAGATCATTCTATTTATATTCTTTATTTGAACAGACTTGTCCCCAAAGAAGATATAGTCTATGTATGACCTATAATGCAAAAAAAAAAAAAATGCTCCACAGTTTTGTTCATGAAAGAAATACAAAATAAGGGGGTAAGGGTAGAGCACTTCTAGCAGAAACCTTGGGTTTCATCGCCAGCATAGAAGGAAAGGAAGGGATGGAGGGAAGAAACAGCAAATTAAAAATCACTATGAGATACCATCTTAGACCCAAGACAGTGGCTAAAATCTAAAACCAAATGTTGACAAGGATGTGAAGCAGCTAGTGGGAGGATAAAATAAAACATCCATCTGAGTCATTTGGTAGTTTCTTATAAAATCAAAGAACTCTGTACTTTATGATTTAGCAACTCCTATGATTTAGCAACTCCAATTAGAACACATATTGTATGATTCTATTGCTAGGAGCCATTGCACACATGTGTAATTTGGGAGGCTGAGGCAGGAGAATTGCAAGTTAGAGGCCAGCCTCAGCAATTTAGTGAGACCCTGTCTCAAAATAAAAGACCAAAAGGGCTGGGGATGAAACTCAGTGGATAAGTTCTCCTGGGTTGAATCCCTAGTATTAAAAAATCAATAAAGTCAAACATCTCTACTCTAAAACACAGCAATTCCACTAGGATACATATTGTATGATTATATGAACTATGGACAGACGGAATTAATCCATTTTGGAGGGAAATTGATTAAGTAGAATATGAAAAAATTACTCCAGATTTTGTTTTAGGTAGTGGTTTTAGAGATGTATCTAAGTGTCAGAATTCAACAGACTACCTAACATCTGTCCATTTTTTTTCATTCCTTTTTTACTATATGCTAATTATACCTTTATTTTTAAAAAGAGACCAAAACAAAGCACAGGTACTTGCCTTCAGGCTATCTTGTGAACAGGAGGTCCCACCTAATAATCAGTTTGCAGTCATTTCCTTGGTTCAAAGATTCCAGGATGGGTTTATAACCCAGCTTGGGTAAATATACCTTGTACCAACTGCAAGTCCAGACCCTAAGGCAAGCATTCTTATGTAGATTGTCTATAGATTTGTGAGTATGGAAACTAATCAGGAGATGAGGCTTTGAAAGCTGGAATGAAACCAGGCAGTTTCCAGCAAAGGAAAATAACACAAGGGGTGGGGGTTTCACCTAAGGACTACTCCTTTGGCTGCTGCAGCGGCTGCAGCAGTAGGTCTTTGGGCAAATATTGGCTTCTGGGATGTTTGGACATAACCTGTGAATTACTTTAATCCTTAAATT